ATGCCGCAACGAGCCTTCAGGCTGTTTATCTATATGGATCGGGTTGCACACCACAACGAGCCTTCAGGCTTTTTACCTATATTGGATTGGGTTGCACGCCGCAACAAGTCTTATGGTTATTTATATGTTGGATCGGACTGCACACGTCGTAGCGATATAACGCTTGGGCTGAATGAGCCCTTTCGGAGTCTGTACACCCCTCTTGAGAGCGTGTACCTATTGATTGTGAGTACTGAGGCTGAGAGCCGAGTGATTGAGCTGTTGAGATAGTTTAGTGATAGTAGCCCTGTGAGGCGGTACTTGCCTTCATTTGTTGTTGCACTTAGTTGTTATCTGACAGTGTTGGAATTTTTTTTGAAAGTCTTTATATCCGGTTTACTTGATCTTGAACTATAATAAACCAGTTTGACTTGAATTTCTGGATTGAAAGCATGCCTATTCTTTACTGAAATTTCTGAAATGAACTGTATTTGTATAGCTCGTCACTGCATCTCAATTCCTTATTTATTTAGGTTACTTACTGAGTTGGAAGTACTCACGTTACTCCATGTACCTTGTGTGTAGATTTAGGTGATACCGGACGTGGAGGTCGTTGAGCTCGTACGCAGTCAATTCCCGGAGATTTACGAGGTAGCTACCGGCGTTCGCAAACCTTGTGCTCCTTCTTTATTACCTTTCTTTTTCTGTATTGACATTTAGACGCAGACTAGTGTAAACACTGTCTTTAGATTGAAAGTTTAGTTGCTCATGACTTAGTGACACCCCGATGTCGGGCTATTATTATGCAATTGTGGTTTGGATTTTTGCACTGTTGTTATGTAAACCTCTAGTTAATTTAATTGTCTTAACTCATTTCTGTCATATAATGAGAGTAAACTGAAAAATGTCAGCTTGCCTAGTTCCACGTTATGCGCCATCAAGACGGGTTAGGTAATTGGGTCGTGACACTTTTTTTCTTCTTTTGAATCTCTCTATATATATGTGCGCGCGCGTTCATCCATATCTATACTATATTAAAAGTAGGAAGCTCCTTATCGAAATGTTGTTCGCCTTTTTTACCCTTTTAAAATAGTGTTCGTACTATACAAAATTGTCATTTGATTATTTTTCTAATATTTAGGACATATTCATTTAATAATTTTCCTAATATTTAGGACTTCTAAAGCAACTAAAATTTCTATATTGAATTTTTTCTTATTTTTATTATATAACATACCATATTTGCAACCAAAAAAAAGAAGAAGAAGAAGGTAATAATGCATCATACATAAAAACTTTAAAAAATATTGCAAAAATCATAGTTACCAAAAAAATAAATAAATTACAAAGTCAACTTAGTTCTAGGACACATAGGAGAAAAGAAATTAAAAAATTCCAAAGAGAGAAAAAAGACTAATTAAAAGGGGGATGTTTCATAACTAACAAGCTTAAAAACACGAATGCAAACTCACATTAGGATAATTTCCAACAGTTTGTATTCTTTTTAAATTAGGAATCTTTAATTTTTTCTTTTGATAATTTTTTTTACAGATTAATTCTTTAGAAATTTAGCCTTAATAATTAACAACTACATAACACAGTTTAGCATTATGTGCTTCTAATAAGCTACTAAAACGTTAACAAATAGTTTCGTACTGCAATTCATTACTAAAAGAATGGAGAAAAGTATACGAATTGGATAACAAAGAAACCTAACAAAAGTTAAAACATGAATTATTTTCATATGAAAGGTTCTACGAAATCTACTTTCATGACGCAATGTTAGTCTTCTCAACTTTTAAAATGTAATTAATGAATAGAGGTTTTAACGAGTCATATGGTTAATAATAAAAATTTTATGATCTTTAAAGTTTTACACACGATACATGTTATGAGTGACTCCAATTTTACCTAACCTCTATTTGGCAAGTGAAAACGAAAGTGATTGATAAAGAGAAAGATTCAAAAGTGATATATTCATCAATAATTTACCTTTTGGATCCTTCATTCTCTAAACTATGTTTGAGGTCTTGATAATTAGAATTTTAAAAGAATCGAGATTTTAACTTATATAAATTATTTACTTATTTGAATATTGTAACATGACCATAATTCTTTCTATATCTTAAAATAACTACTATAATTTATTTGGTATTATCTTTAAACTCTTTAATTATCTGCTCAAAGAATATTTTTCACTTTATTAAGTTTTTGTATAATATTTTAAAATAATACTTAAAAATCAAAATAAATAACAAACAAATAATTAAGAATATAGAAGAGAACGATAGAGGGAGGCAGAGAAAGAAATAAGACAATCAGAGAAGTCATATTTTTTCATTTATCCAGCCAACTAAATAGGATAAATATTCATTATTTTTAGGAATTTTTGTTATTATTTTTATTTTATAACACAAATATATTCATTAATATTTATTTAATTTTTTAAAAAGTTCTATACACGTGCAAAGCGCGTATCCGAAGAGTAGTAATTATAAACTCAGCTAGCGATTATTTTTATTTTCATATGATATAGAAAACACCTTTCCAATATTACGAAGTTTCTCTTCTTCGTCCACTGATTGTAAGAAAATATTATATTATACATTACAACAACAACAAACAAATAACTCGGTAAAATCCCACAGGTAAGTGGTCTGGGGAAGGTAGTGTATACGAAACTTTGCCCCTACCTCAATAGAGTAGAGAGACTTTATCTTCTATATATGTAAGTTCTTAATTGACCAATACTCTACCCCATACAACATGGTCAGTCTAACCACCGCTCTATAACCTTTGAGTATCAATGACACTTTCTTGTCACGCAGGACTCCAGATGCTAACTTCCATTTCATCCAACCCACCCCTATACGGCGTATGACGTCCTCGTCGATCTCCCCATCCTCCTGGATAACCGACCCAAGGTACTTGAAACTGGTTCTTTTGGGGATGACATGTGATCCAAGCCTCACATTCATGTCCGCTTCCCTCGACTCGGCGCTAAACTTGCACTCCAAGTATTCGGTCTCAACTTGAAACCCTTAGACTCAAGGGCTTGTCTTCAAACCTCCAGCCTCTCGTTAACACCATCTCGCATCTCATCAATCAGAACTATGTCATCAGCGAATAGCATATACCATGACACCTCCCTTTGAATATGTCGTGTCAGTGCGTCCATCACTAGGGTAAATAAGAACGGGCTGAGCACACATTTTTTATGCAACCCCATATTCTACATTGATTTAATAAATCTATGATTTGTCTAATAAAACAAATCGGTGATAACTAAGCTTGTAGCAGACTTCACATTAAAATACGTAGAATAAAAGTGATCTGATAAGTAGATATGACCTTAAAAATAAAATAATGCACGACGTGAGCATAAAACTGGATTTAATTACCAAACTCTATTGCAAAACCCGCAAAATTTGGGGAACAGACCAATTTTCTTTGCTAGCTGTGGAAGTTGGAAACTCTATGCAATTCTTTGACTGATTAAAAAAATTCTAAAACAACGTGACAATATCTATTTAATTAATTAAAACTTTGTTTTTTTGAGGTGGCCCTCGTTAATAATACATATTTGTCTCTCATTAATCAATTTAAATACCAGGCCAAATGGGCACATCCCCACTTTGATCGTTGATATGTTATTATTTCCAATTTCTTTAAGAATAATGATGGCGATCGAATCAATTAGATACCTGATATCTTCGCAGCCAACACAATTATCGAATAACTCCATATATCACCCTTTATTTCCATTATATTCCCTTTTAGTTATTTTTTCTCTTTTGAAAACAAATATAAAATTCATCAAATAACAAAGACATGCTCTCCACTAATTTCCTATAGGAGCAAATTATTAGATATAAATGCGAGAGTGGGAGAATATTTCAGGTGAAATTAGAATACATATGTGATGTTCTACAATTGGCAAAAATATTTTCAAGTCCTTCTCTGATCTATTTGTAAAAAATAATCAGGTGTTTCGTGCAAAAAATAATATTATAACTTAAATATTACTGATATCCTTAATATAACACCCATTGAGCACTTCAACTTTGAATAATAATAATAGATTATATGTGTTCTTTGCCACCTTATATTATATTTGAATCCTGAACTTTGAATGCTTAATTCTAAAATAAATTACTAATATAGAAAGAAACAATTAATAAGAAACTCTAAATCTAGTTGAACAAGTCTAGTCTTCAATTTGCTAAAATTAAAAATTACCTCAAGGTAGGTAAATTGACAATCACATTGACAGTTTTAAATTAAACAAGATAAAAGGCACGACGACATACAAATATATTTTCTTCTTCCTGCAATTCAATCCTCATCGCTATAAATTTTCTTGGATGTCACAAGAATGGCTCGCACCTCGATTATTCCATCAGATAACTATTATCTTCCACCGACTAAGAATTGGTATCTCTACTCGCCAAACATTAGACAGATGAGAAAAATTACCTAGCAAATTTTTATCCTTTCTCCTTAACAATTTCCTCAACTTACTATATATGTTATTAAAAATTACTTTTTTCCCTACTTAGTCCAACCTATAGATATTGTAGTCATTATGAATATATTTTTCTATAATTTGAACTCTAGAAAAGGGGACCAAAGTATTGCTCTTTCCACAGTATGACTCATCATCCACATAGGAGAAAAATTTCACAACCATTTAATTTGATACTTCATATTCATCATAAGATGTGCATTTCTTGTAGAATTTAATAATTAAAGAAAAAAAAGGCTTCATATATACTGAGCAATAAACAGGGCATCAATGTCACATGAAGAGAACAGGAAAATCTCTAAGTCAGTAGACACCTTCAAGTTTGTCTAGCTGTCATGCGACTAGGAAGTCACGGGTTCGAGTCGTGGAAACAGCCCCTCGTAGAAATGCAGGGTAAAACTGCATACAATAGACCTTTATGGTCTGGCTTTTCCCCGGACCCAGCGCATAGCTGGAGCTTAATGCATCGGGCTGCCCTTTTTTTTTAGAACGATTCTGGTTATGCAAAGACTAGATAGCTACTTCGTGAAATACAGATTTGCGTACAGCTTCCATACATATGTCTGATCAAATTAGTATACAGTTATCATCTAAACAAAGAGGTTAATCAACAATGTCACTACTAAAAAGCTTAAATTTATTGGCATCTAGAACCAATTTCCTTATAGAAGAAAAGGATCCTAGAAGTCCAGCACCAGAGAATACAACCATTATAGAAGTATTTATCCAATAGATAACTGATGACTTCTTTGGTTTGAAAGTCATGTTGTAAAGTAGCATTGGGAGAACAAAATCAAGAGGAATAAAACCAATGGCACCTACCACGCCGTTAATGTCACCAAAGAATGGCAGCATAGCTGCAAAGAATCCGCAAAGGGCCATGTACAGCGTTCTGAGGATTATCCTCGGGATTAGGTTTCGAGGAGAGAAGACAGCCTTGTTTGCATCAGCTGACTTCTTTTCCATGATTTCATAAGCAACTTGAGAATATACCTGTGATCATATCAAAAAGAGGTTACCATCACGTAGCCGACAACATGCTGGCAACAGTGGCGAAGGTAGGAATTGTCCCAAGGGCATTCAAATTTGAAAGAAGTGGAAAAAAAATTCTCGACAAAGGGTGTCCAATATGTGTTATATACCTCTAAAACGTAATATTTTACCTATATACACAGTGTAATTTTTCGACGAAGGGCTGATTATCTTTGTGACCATGTGGCTTCGCCACTGGCTGGCAAAACATCATTATTTTGCTGGGATTTAAACCTATGTTACACTGATCCTTCATTTGCCTTGACATACTCGTGTTGAACAGCAGAGATGGAGGCATGATATTTAGCTTATGAGTTTTGAGTTACAATTCTTTTTGTTTATTGGATTCTGAATAGATTATTTGTAAATATTAAATAAAATTTTTAACACAAATATAGAATTTGAGCCAAAGTTATTGGGTTCTTCCAATGGGTGTGAGTACTTCGTGCGGGTCCTCGAAAATACACTAAATATTAGTAGCAAAAAATTTGAGGTACTCGAATCGGATCCTTGCACACATGTACCTGATAGTACCAATAAACGGATCCGTGTAACATAAGTTTAAGCCACTGTGTGATACAATTGTGACGCAACAAATGCATGACTTACCAAACCAATGGCAAAGAGCTGAAGAAGAATAAAGACGACTGCAAGACCTAAAACCCATGTCGGTGCCAAGGAAGGTCCTTCATCTGGCATTAAACTCTTGAGAATGTTTGAATTGACTTTGTTTCCAAATACCCAATATCCAGAAACAGAAGCAGAGTAGAAAGTAACCAAAATTACAGAGTAGCACAACATAAGGCCTTTCAACATCTTTCCTGTCGCTGGTGGAGCGAGAGTTGCCTGCATGAATTGGAGTATAAATTAACATATGTCTCTAGTGAAGAACATTGGACATCATAAATTGTTTTCATCATTGTTGAACTAAAGGAACTTGTGGAAAAGAAATGAGGAAAAAATCAATATGAAAGAGCTATGTAGTTACCTGTATTTCGGGTAGTATTCCATTCCCAAAAATAGCTGCAATAATGGAGATAGAAGTGAAAGCGCTAAATACCCGTGATAGTTGTGAGGTTTCTAAGGAGTAATCTCTCGGAGGAGCATTTTTTGATTTACCTGCATAATGCAGGAAATATATAGATAAACTGGATGTACACATAGTAAAGTGACATGCTAATATCAATTAATATTGATTCCGCTTTCTCCACTAACTCTTCTGCTTTCTTTCAGGCCAGGTTTGCATATTTGTATATACACTAATGTAAACAAATTAATTTCTCAACTCTTGTCATTAGGGTATCCGGCGAATGATATATAACAAAAACATTACCATGGGCGAAAAAGGTTCGCAGCTAATTAAAAAAGAAATAGGGCTTAGTTTTTTCTCCATCATAAAACTGCAGGATCTTTGCTTCTAGTAATCAAGTTTATGCAGGTTGAAGATAATAGGTAACCTTGTGTGTAAGGTTTTCAAAATTGTTCAAGAATATACCAATGACATGAAAATGAACCCGAACCACAAAGAACATAAGAACTTACCGGCATTAATACACGCGCCAACAACTAGAAAAGTGTAGCCCAAGCTAAGAAACAATGACACCAAGTTGATGTGCCTTAGGGAGTGGAAGGATGGAAATTGAGAGAGAAATATCATTACTACTGTAACCATTGCAATGAAGTGATACAATTTCAGTGGCCCATGTGGTGAAAGTTCGGAGTACATGATCTTGTACAAGCAAAGAAGAAATAAAATGTCGTTCAATAACATGAAAAAATGTAAACACAGCAATAATTAATAATAATTTCACGTATGCTGTCTTGCCATATATTTTAGCACTAAGGACATGGAGGCATATGACAAACTGAATGGTGTTACATGAAATGAGATGAAGGTCTATTACCCCAAAGATATTACCAGATTGTAGAAGTAAAATCTTATGTAACAAACTGCAAGACCATTTGGCAGTTTGATTCTGTACATGTTGAAGTTGTCAAATATCCTACATCGGTGGTTGACACTTTTGTTTGGGAAATTTTCCCTATAAAAGGAGGCATAATGTTTAGGATTTAAATACATCTCTCATTTGCCTTCTTATCTTCTTAAGTCATTTGTGTCTTCTCTCTTTAGTATTATTTCACTTGTATTTTTTGAGTGGAATAAAATATTGGTTGTGTCCGAGGAAGTAGGCAAAATCGGCCGAACCACGTAAATTCTGGTGTTCCTTTTANTTAAGGCATTTGTATCTTCTCTCTTTAGTATTATTTCACTTGTATTTTTTGAGTGGAATAAAATATTGGTTGTGTCCGAGGAAGTAGGCAAAATCGGCCGAACCACGTAAATTCTGGTGTTCCTTTTATTGTTGCTTTATTATCTTATTTATTATTTGGTGGCTGTCATAATTTTTGGTATAGTAGTTGTGACTCATTCACACTATATACATTTGGCTTCCGCAATAATTGGTATCAGAGTCAATGTACTGTCTAAGTATGCTATGTGATTGCAGCATAGTCTGATCTTCCACATCAGAAAAGATTTTTCTAGGTAACTGAGTTAAGGTTCTGTCTGAGTATGCTCTGTGGTTGCAGCTTAGTCTGATCTTCCACACCAGAAAGGAAATAATCTAGATTTGTGTCGTCAGCTATTAAATAATATTCGTGTAAAAAATGGGAGATAATAAACAAGAAGAATCTACATCAAGTGTCAATAATACGTCATCATTGACATCTTTGTTTATGACAAGAATTGTGTCAAATGCGAAATTTGCGGTATAAATTTTTGACGGGTCAGGACATTTTGGGATGTGGCAAGGCGAGGTTCTAGATGTCCTTTTTCAACAAGGGCTAGATCTTGCTATTGAAGAAAAGAGACCAGATGTTATTGAAGAAGAAGATTGGAGAATTATCAATCGTGTTGCTTGCGGTACCAATCGATCCTACCTTGCTAGAGAGCAGAAATATCCATACACAAAGGAAACTTCTGCAAGTAAATTATGGAAAGCACTGGAGGATAAATTTTTGAAGAAAAACAGTCAAAATAAATTGTACATGAAGAAAAGACTATTTCGCTTCACCTATGTTCCTGATACCACGATGAATGAACATATCACTAGTTTCAATAAGTTGGTCACAGATTTGCAAAATATGGATGCAACTTTTGATGATGATGACTTGGCCTTGATGTTGTTGGCGTCACTTCCTGATGAGTACGAGCACCTTGAAACTACTCTACTCCATGGAAATAACGAAATTTCTCTCAGAGAAGTTTATTCGGCTTTGAACAGCTATGAACAAAGAAAGGGAAAAAAACAGAAGGGCGGAGAAGGAGAAGCACCGGTTGTGAGGGGTCGTCCTCAAAATCAAACGAGGACAAAGAAGTGAAGATCCAAGTCAAGATCTAGACCCAGCAAAGATGAATGTGTCTTTTGTTGAGAAAAGGGGCACGAGAAGAAAGACTGTGCGAAGTTGAAGAATAAGGCCAAACATAACAATGGAAAGACCATTATGGATTCAAATGTAGCTGATTGTGATGATTCAGACTTCTCATTTACAACAGAGTCATTAACATCATCAGACATATGGTTGATGGACTCG